GGGCAGTTGGGGGTAAGTGACTTGCCCAGGGTCACACAGCTAGTAAGTGTCAAGTGTTTGGTCTGAGGCCGGATTTGAACTCAGGTCCTCCTGACTTCAGGGCTGGTGCTGTATCCATTGTACCACCTAGCTGCCTCTTCATTCTAATTTTTAAGGAAATATTTTCTTCAGTGAGCTTTTGGACTTCTTTTTCCATCTGGCCAATTCTGCTTTTTAAGGCATTCTTCTCCTTGTTGGCTTTTTGGACTTCTTTTGCCATTTGAGTTAGGCTATTTTTTAAGGTGTTATTTTCTTCAGTATTTTTTTGAGTCTCCTTTAGCAAGCTGTTGAATAGTTTTTCATGATTTTCTTGCATCACTCTTATTTCTCTTCCCAGTTTTTCCTCTGCTTCTCTTGCTTCTCAAAATCCTTTTTGAGCTCTTCCATGACCTGGGACTGATTCATATTTTTCTTAGAGGCTTTGGATGTAAAAGCTTTGACTTTGTTGTCTTCTTTTGGTTGTATGTTTTGATCTTCTTTGTCACCAAAGAAAGATTCTACGATCTGAATTTTTTTTTTTTTTGCACAGTTTGCTCATGTTCCCAGCCAATTACTTGAGTTTTAAACTCTTTGTTAAGATAGGGGGTCTGCTTCCAGTGTCGAGAATGTACTGTCCCAAGCTTCAGGGGTTTTGTGCAGCTGTTTTCAGAGATATTTCTAGGGACCTGTAAATTTTCAGTTCTTCCAAGGTGGTATAATAAGGGTCTAGGTGTTTACACCTTTCCTGGCCTCTGGTCTATGAGTGAACACAGGCACTCTTTTCTGCCTTGGAACTATGAGGAGGATTCCCTCTCCACCTCTGCTATAACCTCCACCATGCCAATGCACCTCCTGGCCCCAGAACTGCCACCTAGAACTGTGACCTAGATCCAAGCATGGGCAAAGCAAGAGAATCCTGCCTCAGCACCAGCAAAGAGATCCCTGCAATCCCCCTCTGATTAGCCACTTGTTTCCCCCTTTGTCTGTGAGCCAAGAGCTCTGGAAGCAGCTGCTGCCCCAGGGCTGTGCTGGGACTGGGGCTGGGACTGAGCTTCTTTTTTGCCATGGTCACAGACCTTTCCTACTGACCTTCTAAGTTGACTTTGGTATTTGTGGGTTGAGAAGTCTGGAAACTGCCATACCTGCCTGTGATTCAGTCCTCTGAGGCCTGCTTCAGGTTTGCTGAGGCCTGGTCTTTGCCTCCGTGCCCGCACTGAACTGTGTTCCTCTCCCAGCCTGGCTCAGTAGACCTTTCCAACCAACCATCCAGGTTGTCTTGGATTGGAAATTTGTTTCACTCTGTCTTTTTATGGGTTCTGCTGCTCTAGAATTTATTTAGAGCCATTTTTTACAGATATTTGGAGGGCTTTGGGGGAAAGGTCAAGCAAATCACTGTTTTCACTTCGCCGTCTTGGCTGTGCCCCCACACACCACTCTTGAGGAGCTGTCCCAGTTTGTGACACCTTGGGATGGAGCCAGGGTAGACTTTTAGAGAATTTGCTTAGAACAAGACTTAGACTCTCATTATCTTTTTGCTTAGAGGGCTGTACTTCCTTCTTATTCTTCTTATTCACCTAATCAGAATCAAAATGTGGTTTCTGTGAATTAGATTCAGAAGGCACTCTAATGGTCATATTACTTGTACCCTGTGACAAGCAGGTGTCTCAAGTCCTGGATCCTAGGCCTCTCTCGATCTTTGAGGGCTGCTGATGTCTCTTCTAGACAATAGCTGTTCTTAGGTGGCTTTTTGGTGGTGTTGCCTCATGTCAGAAGGCTCACAATCTCTTCTTTGTTACTTTCTAGTAGCTTGGGAGAGGGACTGTGTTCCTGCTTAATATTCCTTAATAAATAAGCATTTATTAAGCAGTTCCCCTGAGAATGAACCGATGAATGATTGAAAAGGCATTTATTAAATGTTTACTGTGTGCCAAGCACTGTGCTCAACTCTAGGGACTAACAAAAAAAAAAGTGAGATAGTTCCTGTTCTCAAGAAGTTCCCACTCTGATTGGGGAAGGTAGTATGTAAAAGAGAGTTTAGTGCTGAGCAAATCAAAAGGCCTAGGAGTACTAAGCCTGCGTCAGTGTGTGGGGCCAGGGTCCTGGCTTTGCTCGACATTTGGAGGGAATAGATGCAAGGCAGTTGGTAAGGTCTGGAGAACCATAAGAGGCTGCAGTAGGGCAGATGGCAAACCTGGTGGGCCTCCATTTCCCTAGGAGGAGTAAGTACACTTGGTGACTTGCATCTCCCCCAAGCCCTGTGAACAGCGGAGCAGTCTAGGCTGGGACAGGGCTAAGAGAAAGGCAGTCTTGTTGTGACTTTGTTTCTGTCTCGGAAAGCACTTTTTTGCCTCTGTGCTCTCAAGGATCATGCCTCAGATCTGGAGTTGGAAGGGACCTTGGAAGCCATCTAATCTAACCCCCTCATAAGGAAACTGAGATCCAGGGAGGCTCTGTGTCTTAGCTATACTCCCAGGTGTAGAGGCAGGATTTGAACCTGGCTCCTCTGGCTCTGGAGCCAGTGCTCAAGAAATTTAAAATCTGCTGATCATGTTCTTTTGTGTGCCCCAGAAATTAAGGGCTAAGGAGCTAGAGGGTCCCTGCTGCCTAGACCTGCACTGTGTTTTCTTCTACCCTCTCTGAATTACTGTCTTTCACAGAAAATCCTCCCAGTGCCAAGCAACCTACCAAGATGCTGGTCATCAAAAAGGTTTCCAAAGAGGATCCTGCCGCTGCCTTCTCTGCTGCATTCACCTCACCAGGACCTCACCTTGCAAATGGGAACAAGCCCACAACTATTGTCCCAAGTGTCTACAAAAACCTTGTCCCAAAGCCGGCAGCGCCTCCTTCCAAGGTACCAGAGGTTGCTAGTTTGTGTGATGAGGGCTTTTGAGGTGGAAGAGAGAGAACTTGAGTTTCATCTTATTTGTTAATTGAGGAAATATTTATTGAGAACTTGGTGTGTGCCCACCAACTAGGGGGTGCTGTGGGCAAAACCAAGAATAGTAGCAGTTCTTGATCCCAGCGAACTTAGTCTATGTGAAGTGAAGGGACTTTCATATCTACAAATTAACCGTATGCTGGGTGAGGTGTCATGGTATTTACAAAGAGCAGCTAAGCATGGCCCTCCCTTCCTACAACTTGCCATGTACTTTGAAACAAAACATGCACAGTAACGATTGATTTCACAGGGTCCTATATGATTCATCACCAAATGATTGTACAAACAGCTGCTACTAGAATTCAAAAGAAAGAGAAAAATCTGTAGTAGAGTAAGTATTTGATCTAGGCATTACAGGATAGATAAAGGAAGAAAGGTATTCCCAGCCAGTGGAATATCAGGAGAAAAATTGTGAATCAGCAAAGCAGAAAGCTGACTCACGAGTCAATAAGTAAAGCAGTTTGGGGATTTGTGAGCGACTGGAACTTGGAGGTAGGTCATGGAAGACTTTTGTGCATTGAGATGAGAACTGAAGTAACAAGGGTGGATGTCAAGGGAGAAAAGCACCAGTAGCAGAGAACTGAATCTCAGAAACACCTCTTAGGCAGTAGGAGGAAAGGAGCTTCCCCAAGATGTCCCAGAAGTCAGGAGAGGAGAAGGTCAAGAGGAAGGAGGTGAGGGATGAGCAAAGGCCGCTGGATTTAACAATTAGGAAACGGATGATCTTTGAGAAGGATGTTTTAATAATTCAGTAGAGCCTGAAGCCAGACTGTAGAGGGTTGAGGAGAAAGTAGCTTAGTATAATGGACTAGGGAAGGAATAAGTAAGTACAAATTGCTTTGCAAATATTATCTCATTTGATCCTCACAACAACCCTGTGATGTAGGTGCTATTATTATCCCCATTTTGCAGTTGAGGAAACTGAGACAAACAGATATTACATGATTTGACCAGGGTCACATAGCTGGATTTAAACTCAGCTCTTCTTGACACTAGGCCCAGCACTCTATCCACTTATATCATCCAACTGCCTCTGATTGTTAGAGGCTGGATTACAAGATCTGATAGATTAGAAGGCAAAGACTGTGTTCAGATCCTACCTTTACTACAGATAGCTTGTGATCATGTGTCACAACTTTTCAGTGTCCCAGGCACGTCTAAGATTCTTAAGGTTACAGAATGGTTGATGATCTAATGGTCTTCTTACATTGGGAAGTCTTTGAGAACAGGGGCAGTGTTCTTTCTTTTCTTTGTACAATAGCGATTAGCACAGGGCCTAGCACACAGTAGGTACTTAATTAAGGCTTGTTGACTGATCTACATCACTGGAGGGAATTTCCACCTCAACAAGGAGAAAGACGACATGTTGGGAACAGTGATAGCTGCTACAAACACCTCGTTCAAGTAGGACAAGGAAAGAAAGAAATGAGATAGGGAAAGACTTGTGAAATAATAGTGAAAGGAAGCAATGGAGGGGAACAGATTGGAGGTGATAGATGGGGCAAGGTCCAGGAAAAGAAACAAGGTTACAAGATTACAAGTAAAGTGATTGTTCTTAGAAAGCAAAGGGCTGGTAGGCCCTCAGAGACTGTAGAGAATCTGATTTCTGAAGTCACTTTCAGGTCTAAATCTGTAAAAATCAATCAAGCAACAAGCACTTATTAAGTGCCTACTGAGTTCAAGGCCTGAGGAAACAAGGACAAGCAAAACAATCCATGCTCAGGGGCAGCTCAGGGCACAGTGAATAGAGCTCCGGCCTTGGAGTCAGGAGGACCTGAGTTCAAATCCAGCCTCAGACACTTAACACTTATTAGCTGTGTGACCCTGGGCAAGTCACTTAACCCCGATCACCTCACCAAAAAGCAAAACAAAAAACAAAAAAAACAATCCCTGCTGGAAAGAAGCTGACTGTATACTTATAGGGGTAACAAGTGCATTAAAAGGTAGCATAAATTTAAAATAGAATAAATACAAATTTATATATAAAGTAGTTTGTTAGAGAAGACACTCGCAATGAGAAGGACCAGGAGAGACCTCCTGTAGAAGGTGGTATTTGAGTTGTATCTTAAAGGAAGAGAAGTAATGATGGAAGGCATTTGAAGCTCAGGGCATGGTCAGTGCAAAGGATTAGAGACAGGAGGCAGTATCATATGTGAGGATCAGAAGGCTGGATCTCATACATAGAGTTCAGGAGTGGGGATAATGTCCAGTGAGGCTGAAAGATAGGTTGGAGCCCATTTGTGAAGGCTTTTAAGATACAGGAATATATATTTGGTCCTAGAAGTAATAGGAAATCACTGGGATTGAGTAGAATAGTTACATGATCAGATCTATATTTAACGAAAATTATTTTGTCAGAGGTATGAAGCATGAATTGAAGTGAGGAGAGGCCAGTTAGGAAGTTGCTGCAAGAGGTGGAGGGTCTAAATTTCTGGAGTAGCTATGTGCCTGGTAGTGGGATAAGCCCCAAGGATACAAAGAAAGGCAGAAATACAGTGCCTGACTTCAAGATAATGCTCGTAATTCTGTCCATCTTAAAGTGAAGTGAACTGGGGTACTAAGCATTCCTTTAATAGAAAGGCAAGTCGGGGCAGTTAGGTGGCACAGTGGTTAGAGCACCAGCCCTGAAGTCAGGAGGACCTGAGTTCAAATCCGACCTCAGACCAAACACTTGACACGTACTAGCTGTGTGACCTTGGGCAAGTTACTTAACCCCAATTGCCTTACCAAAAAAAAAAAAAAAAAAAAAAAGGCAAGTCATGAAACATCATCCTCGTTTTTTTCTTCTTTATCTTCTGTCTCTCTATATCTACTGGCTGCTTCCATTCTGACTACAAGTATGCCTATGTCTCTCTCTTCCTCAAAAAACCCTTACTTGGTCCCTCCATCCCTGTTGTCCTATATTTCTTCTTACCTTGTGTGGCTAAACTCATTGAGAAGTCTACATTAGGTGGCTCTATTTTCCATCTTCTCACTCTGTTCCTAACAGAGTCTGGTTCCTGAATTCATCATTCAGCTGAAACTGCTCCCTCCAAAATTAGTACCAACCTTTTAAGTGCCCAATCTAATGACCTTTTCTCAATCAGCTCCTGTGGATTCAGTTATCAACTGTATCCTGATAATTCTCAGATCTGCTTATCCAGCCCTGCCCTCTCTGCTGACCTCCAGTCTTAAATCTCCAACTGCCAGTTGGGCATCTTGAACTGGACATCTTGCAGGCTTCTTAAACTCAGCATGTCCAAAACTGAACTCATTATTTTTTCCCCAACACTCTCCTATTTTTCTAACATTCCTGTTATTTTCAAAGGTGCTACCTTTTAGTCTCCCAGTCACCCAGGCTTTCAATAGGTATCATCCTTGACTATTTTCACCCCTCCCCATATCCAGTCTATTGCCAAGTCCTGTTGATTGGGCCTCTGCAACATCTTTCATTCACACCCCACCACCACCACCACCACCTCTATTTTGACACTGCCACCAATCTGGCTCTCATGCTTTCATACTCTTGTGACTGTTGTTAATAGCCTGCTGGTGGGCCTCTGCCTGAAATCTCTCCACATTCCAGTCCATCCTCTATTCAGCTGCCAAAGTGATTTTCCTAAAGCGGAGATCAGACCATATTCTCTCTCTCTCTCTCTCTCTCTCTCTCTCTCTCTCTCTCTCTCTCTCTCTCTCTCTCTCTGTCTCTGTCTCTGTCTCTCTGTCTCTCTGTCTCTCTGTCTCTCTCTCTCTCTCTCTGTCTCTCTCTCTGTCTCTCTCTCTCTCTCTCTGTCTCTCTCTCTCTCT